TATAGAAGACAGGCTTGCAGTTAGTGGTCACGAAAAAGAAAGATTCCTTAAAAATAGGAAGGGATCATGAGAAATCAATCCATCAGCTGCTAGATGAGGCAAAGAAGAATAACTTAAGATTGATTGGAGTCAGTGAAAAAGCAGGAGATAGCACAAATGATATTTAAAAAAAAAAAACTGTTCAAAAATGTCACAGCAGAAAACTTCCCTGGTAGAGAAAAAGAATTTGACATTACAGTTCAGTGAGGTATGTAGAACTCCAATTAGCTACGATAAAAAGATCTAGAGTTGGGCATGGTGGCACATGCCTGTAATCCCAGCACTCAGGAGGCTGAGACAGGAGGATCACTGTGAGTTCAAGGCCAGCCTGGGCTACAAAGTGAGTTCAAGGCCAGCATAAACTGCATAGTGAAATCCTGTCTCAAAAAGACAAAAAGACAAAAAAAAAAATCTACAGCCAACCATATCATAGTCAAGATTCTAGAAATTCAATACAAGAATAGCATGTTAAAAACTGTTGGGGAAAAGAAACAAATTGCCTGTAAAGGAAAGCCCATCAGAATCACAGCTGACTTCCCAGCACAAACCCTCAAGTCAAGGAGAGCTTGGAGTGAAGTATTTCAAGTTCTAAAGGAAAACAACCTTCAACCAAGATTGATGTACCCTGAAAAATTACCTTTCAAAACTGATGGAGAAATAAGATACCTCCATGACAAAGAACATTTGAAGAAATTTATGACCACTGAAGCAGCACTCCATGACTTTTTGTTTTTCTTTTTTGGTACCGGGAATTGAACTCACGACCTTGCACCTGCCAGGCAGGCACTGTGCCACTGAGCTAAATCCCCAGCCCTTGAAGGACATTCTGGAAAGAGATAACAAGGACTACAACTCCACGAACCCCAACAGAAGGGATCCACCAGGCAAGGAAAAAACAGAGGGAGGGAAAAACAGAGGGGGAGCCAACAACAGGAAAACAACATAGAAAGGATAGGTCAATACATACCAGTTATAACCATCAATGTTAATGGTCTCAATTCAATCAAAAGACACAGACTTGCAGAATGGATCAAGAAGCAAGATCCAAGAATATGCTGCATATAAGAAACACATTTAGGGCCAGGGATGTAGCTCAGCAGCATAAGCACTTGCCTGGCAAGCCTGAGGTCATGATTTTGATTCCTGGTACCAAAAAAAAAAAAAAAAAGAAAGAAAAAAACACATTTAATTCAGAAAGAAATTAAGGATAGAAAATAATACTCCATGTGACAGGAACCCAGAAAAAAGTAGGGGTAGCTATTCTATTTGCAGACAAAGTGGATTTCAAGCCAAGACTGATTAAGAGAGATAGACAAGGTCACCTCATTTTTGTAAAGGGAACAATCCAAGAGGAAGAGGTAATAATCATAAATACATATGCAACAAATGCCAGTGCACCCAACTATATCAAACAAATTTTTTTTGGTACCAAAAATTGAACTCAGGCCAGGCAGGTGCTGTGCCATTGAGCTATATTACCAGTCCTGATAAAACAAATATTAACAGGCAGGAAAAATGAAATAAGCACTAATACAATTGTATTGGGGGAAATCATGGTGCAGGAAAAAGATGTTAGAGACTACAATTTAACTGAGGACCAAAAAGCAATCAAGGCCAAGTATCCTCCAGTCATTTGGAAGTACAAATATTTGGATCATATAGCAGATGTCCAGTTACATGCATGGGGGAGACTATGGAGGAAGCGTTCAAGCAGTGTGCCATGGTCATGTTTGCTTACATGATAGACACTGGGACTGTGGACCCCTCCAGACAGTAGAAGTCGAGACCCGAGGAGATGACTTGCAGTCTCTTCCGTTCCACTTTTTGGGTGAATGGCTTTATAAGTTAAGTGCTGATGAATTCTTCATATCTGGAGAAGCGAAAGTACTTAGTATTGATCACAGAAATTTCAAATTACATTCAATTGGGTGGGGAGAAGAATTTTCACTTTCCAAGCATGCTCAGAGAACAGAAGTCAAAGCATTAACATACTCAGCAGTGCAAGCCTATAATGAAGAGAAACCAGAAGTTTTTGTGATCACTGACATTTAAGACACTAAAAAAAAAAAAGAAAGACTTCCATAAAGAGCTATTTTTTTCCCTTGAGAAGATATAATAATTTAATTTCTCTAGAATCTTATGACAACTGGAAATTTACAGAACCGAAATTTTTAACTTAAAGTGGACTTTCAGAAGTAGAAAATCAGCTGGCCGTGGGGGCGCACGCCTGTAATCCCAGCTACTCTGCGGGCTGAGGAAACAGGATCAAAGTTTTGAAGCAGTCCTGCCAACTTAGCGAAACCCTGTCTCAAAATAAGAAAAATCAGAAGCATGCTGGGAGGGCTGGACATGGTGGTGCATACCTGGAATCCCAGCACTGGGGAGACTAAGGAAGGAGACTGTGAATTTGAGGCTGGCCTGAACTACATAGGAAGACTGTCTCAACGTAAATAAGATAAAATAAAATAGCCTCAGTGATACAGCAAAAACAAACAAACAATTGTATTGGGGGATCTCAATACCCCACTGTCACAAAAAGACAGATTAACTAGACAAAACATCAACAATGAAATATTAGAACTGAGCCAAACTTTTGTTTTTGGTTTTGGTTTTTTGGTGTTTTTTTTTTTTGTCTTTTTGAGACAGGATCTCACTATGCAGTTCAGGCTGGCCTTGAGCTCACTTGTAGTCCAGGCTGGCCTTCAACGGGCAACGACCCTCCTGCCTCAGCCTCCCAAGTGCTGGGATTACAGGCCTGAGCCCCCATGCCTGGCTGAACCAAACTTTTGAACAAATGGACTTAGTAGATATCTACAGAGTATTCCACCCCACAACATCTTCTTAGTTGCATATGGGACATTCTCCAAAATATACCACATAGTAGCTCACAGAACATACTTAAGTAAATGAAAAAGAATTGAAATTATGCCATACTATCAGACCATAGTGCAATATGATTAGAAATCAATGGCAAAAGAAACTACAATAACTTTATAAACACATGGAAATTAAATAGCATCCTCCTGAACAAACAATGGGTCACAGATTAAATTAAAGGAGAAATGAGACAGTTTCTACAATTAAATGATAAGCACAGTACAGCACACTGGAACTTATGGGACACAATGAAAGCAGTCCTGTGGCTGGGGATTCAGCTCAGTGGCACAGTGCCTGCCTGGCAAGTGTGAGGTCGTGAGTTTGATTTCCGGTACTGGAAAAACAAACAAACAAACAAATAAACAAAAAATGAAAGCAGTCCTAAGAGGGAAATTTATAGCAGTAAATACCCATATCAGGAAAACAGCAAGTGCAAATAAACAACTTAACGGTGAACCTCAAACTTCTAGAAAAAGAAGAGCAAACTAAGCCAAAAGCTCTTACGAGGGAGAAAATTATGAGGATCAGAGCAGAAATTAATGTATTGGAGACTAATAAAATAAAACAAAGAATCAATGAACTTAAGAGTTGGTTCTTTGATTTAAAAAAAAGAGTTGGTTCTTTGAAAGATTAAATAAAATTGACAAACCCCTATCCAACCTTATCAAAAAAAGGAAAAGACTCAAATCCATGCAATTAGGAATGAAAAGGGTGAAATCACAATGGATTATGCAGAAATCCAGAAGATCATCTATACCTACTTTGAAAAGTTGTATTCTAGTAAGATGGAAAATGCAGAAGAAATGGATAGATTCCTATATACATATGAATCACCCTTCCTCGGAGACAACCAAGTATGGATTAAAACCTCAGCTGGGCATGGTGGTGCATGCCTGTAATCCCAGCACTCGGGAGGCTGAGGCAGGAGGATTGTTGCGAGTTCGAGACCAGCCTAGGCTACAAAGTGAGCTCAAGGCCAGCCTGAACTGCAGAGTGAGAGCCTGTCTCAAAAAAAGAAAGAAAAAGATAGAAAGAGAAAAAGAAAGAAAGAAAGAAAGAAAGAAAGAAAGAAAGAAAGAAAGAAAGAAAGAAGTCTCTACAAACTGTGAGCTAAATAAGCCTTTTCTCCTTTAACTTTGGCTGTCAGGTATATTGTCTCAGCAATGAAAAAAGTAAATAAGACACTACCTGATTCTCAGACGTCTCAACATGCAACTCTGAAAAGCTGGCCAGAGAGCCCCCGCTTCCTCCTGATCCCAGGCTCCTCTGCCTGAGCCCAGCTGTCCACTCAGTAATTTGCTGCAGGTCCCCAAAGAGAGTGAAGCAAACTCCAAGAGTTTCTGTGCCTCACGCAGTAACCCCTCCAGGGCCTGCAAGTGCTCACCCTGCCTCCCAGCTATGGCTCCAGCACCCCAGTCTGGAATCCCCTGGCAGCCTGGTGGCAAAGGGTGGCCACCTCTTCGGTGATAGCTGCCACCTGCAACTAGATCAGGGCTAGGCAGCAGTCCCAGGAAGAGAAGCAGGTAATGAGATAGATTAGGTGGAGGCAAAGCTGGCTGGAGAAGTAGGCATGACCTATGAGCGACAAGATCCTGTACAAATGCACAGAACGGTGCCCAAACCCCTGAACACACACATCTCACAAGCACTAGAGCAGGTTTTCCATAGGATGGCCTAGACCCGATGTCAGCCTGAGGCATGGGATCTCCAGGCAGCCTCTCAGGACCCATATTCAGAAGTTCTATCGGGTTTCCTGGAGATTTAGACAGCATAAATGACACACTGACACCATGAAGACTTTGCTGTTGTAGCTTTCCGTGACACTCCACACTGTTTTCCAGATGCATAATGTAGTTTTATCTTTGCTCCTACCCTCTTTTTCTCTTTGCTTGGCCCAAGCTCGTTCTGCAGAGCCAGTTTATTTCCTACTCTTCACTTTTACTTTCTTGAATAAACTTTGCCACTGCTTTTTCTTGGTTTCTTTCAATTCTTTGTTGAAAGAAGACAGATTAACTAGACAAAAAATCAACAATGAGATATTAGAACTGAACCAAACTTTTTGTTTTTGTTTTTGTTTTTTTTTTGTTTTTTTTGGTTTTTATAAGTTAAGTGTTAACGAATTCCTCATATCTGGAGAAGCGAAAGTACTTAGTATTGATCAAAGAAATTTCAAATTACATTCAATTGGGTGGGGAGAAGAATTTTCACTTTCCAGGATCAAGAAGTGGAATCCAACTCCAGAAGGCGACAAACAGGCCCAAGCCCGGTAGTGTACAGTTGGCGAGCCACTTTCTAGAAGCAAGCTACCCAATAACAGTAAGACAGGACTTGAGTGTAGAAAGGAATCTCTGGAGTCACAGGCACACACCTGGCACCTCAGCGTTGAGACATCCTCTCTGCAGACAGGTAGGCGCCCTTGTGTGGTTCACAGCTGTGCAAGACTGTGGGAGGAAACAGGATCGGGGCAGAGGGCAGATGGCACTCATCCTACCCTCCCCTTTAAGCATGGTTCCGTGCAAGTACGAGGTTGCACACCAGCCCTTCCTTGCTTAAAACTGCCGTGGGCACCAATAGCCACCCTGACCAGAGTGGCCATTCTGCATAACATCCTTTCTTTGTTTATTTTGTGGCACTGGGATAGAATTCAGGGCCTCCCACAATTTACGCAAGTGCTCTACCCCTGAGGTACGCCCTCAGCATGCACAGCAGCCTTTGGGCAGGAAAACAGCACAACCCGTCAGGGAGTACCAGGGTCAAGGGCTGGCAGACAGGCTCAGGAAGGAGCCATCCAAGGTGTCCTTCTGTAGGCACCCTCTGTCTAGACTTGCTGACTTTCCCCCTATAACTGTTTTCACAAGTATTTCACAAGTACTTCCTGAGGGTTTCTCCCTCAGGAAAACTCCAGTTGAGTAGCCCTCAGCCCTTATATTGGACTGTGTGAGTATTCTGCTCACCCCTGCACCCCTCCTCTGGGTCACTCCAATATCCATCTTAAGACCAGGAAAACGTGCAACCCCAAATCCTTGCCAGCAGAAGCACGGACCTGTGACCTGAGCAAGAGAGCACAGACCAGTCATCAGGTGAAAAGAACGTGAATGCTCAGCTTTGGCACACGACATGCACTGATGCGGTTTCAGAAACAAGCTTCAGCTGCGGATGGGCACCGAGGAGGAACAATGCTCCTGTTTACAACTGCAGCCTGGGAAGAGGAAAGGCCTGTCAGACTTTATGGAGGGGAAACCACACCCAGTCATCCTGGAATGTCCTCCTCATTCACCCACACACTTATGTCAACAGCCTCCTGGGCACCGGGCACTGCCATGGAGGCCAGACCTACGGTGGGCACAGCTAGGCCACCGTTATAGTGCAGATAATGCTACCAGTGCCCAGCGAAGGGATCGCAGGCAGCGTGACCATGGGGGTCATTATTGTTGCTGCACGGGCAGGTCCGGTATGGAGTCCTTTGAGGTCCTTTCATAGCCAAGGATGCCCAAAGTAGCCAGAGGAGCAGCAGTCACAATGGAGGCCTGGAGAGGACTGGAGTGTGTGTGTGTTCTTTCCGTATCCTTGGAGACGTAGGTCCCACATACCCAGACAGGAAGTCTGAGGTCTGACCAAGACAGCAGAGAACACAATAGTTATAGTAGGGCCCATCTTCCTGTCTTACAAGGCCACACCCCTAAGTCTGCCCATTCGGCTCTCCCTCTCCAGAACAGGAGCTCCATAAAGACAGGTGTCCACCCTACAGCTCAGCATACAGGTAGGATGGGTGAGGTTTTGCCATGTGGGCCTGATGGGACTGTGAACAAGGGACCAAGGCTAGAGGTTTGCTAATGCCAACCATCCTCGCCTCTTTCTAACCCCACGCGGGCTGTCCACATGGCCAGAACTCCCATGAGAAAGGCTAGAGCCAGGGTGCCCAAGATGGAGGTAGGGCTGGCACTGCTGACCAGAGCCTGGAGTAGGGTCTTCACAGCAGCTATCTAAGCACCTGGACGCAGTAGGATATGAAATGGGGCCCGGCCCACTCTGCATAATTCCTGCCCAACCAGTGTCCGTGCTCACCTCCCACAGAGCTAACCTGCAGTGGCTCCACGGCAGGCCTGGCAGACATCTGTAAGCGGACGGCACAACTCAGAATGTCCATCGCGGGAAGCCCAGCCAGCCACAGAGGCAGCAGTCACAGTAGGGACCAAGTCCCGCCTGGCATATGTACTGGCCCATTCACAAGGTTACAGATGGCACTGATGCCAACCTCAGCATAGTAGCGGCATCTGTAAGGAGTAACAGGAAAATAAAGTCATTCAGAAAATGCTGGATGGCCCTAAATCCCACACCTACTGGCCCTGAAGGATCACCAGTGCAGCCCGCGGGCCTGATGCCGTGTGATGGTCACAGCTACAACCAATGACGTGAGACCAGTAGTACGAGCACTGCCCACATAGCAGGGTACACTGGGTCCTTAGTGAACCCTGCAGGTAGCACTCACATACTGGCAAGAAAAACAAGGTCAGATGAACCTCTCGATGCCCCTCTAACCCCAATAAACTCCTCAAGTCTAGGACACATACTGACCAAGCTCACCTCTACGAAGCAGGGCCAAGGTGCTACAGACCAGGCGGGCCTGGTGTTGGCAAGGCCTGTTCTAGCTGCCTCCATGCAGCCTGCCCAGCGGAGATCCTGCAAATGCTGTGTGACCCTGGGGTCCACAGACCTCCGCCTGGACCACTCCTTTACCGTGGCAGGCATACAACCTAGCAGAGAGTGGACGAAATCAGAGAGAGGACGGTGAGCCCAGGCGCTCACTAACACTGGCCACTCTTCCTCACATTAGCTCTCACAGCCCCTCCCGACCCCTTTCCTAACCTTTTAAATCTGTTTTTCCTCTTTCTAAAGGCCCTAATATAGTCCAAATGATGCCATCTCTCACTCAATCATGTCAGCAGTCTCCATTTGGGCCTCTCCCAAGCAATCCGTTCTCCCCAGATATCCTCTGTGTTCAAACCTCTCCCATAGTTCCCCAGTTCCCTGGGGTAAAGGTAAAGCCCCTCTCCTGGTCCACAAGGTCCTGTGAGATCTGGCTTCTGCCTATTCTCACCTTGTACCCTATCCGTGTGCCAGTTCCATACCCACCACCTGTAGGTCTCAGTCCTCTCAGCTGTCGTATTAATAATCCATTTCTGTCCTGGGTGAACAGGTCCCGAGAACGAGGAACCCACGGATGAATAGAAAAGTAAACGAAAAAAGAAAAACAAGAGAGAGAAAATTCTGGGATCAGGGGGCTAGCAGCCTCTAGGACTGAAGCCCCGATTACCAATTTCAGTAACTCTTTATTGAGAAAGAACAAAGGAGGCAGCAGTGCAAATGGGAGGATATCCACCAATTTAGCAAGGACAATACAACTCAGTATCACATAAATAACACTTGACTAGTTAGCCATCATGTTATCATTCCTTTGGGCGTATCTCAGCAAAGCATTTAGTGTTGACCTCGTGGCTTTCCACAAGGACGCAGATACTGCAGTCTTTTCCTTTCCACCAATGCTTTTGCTAGACTTCCTCTGGAACCCAACAACCAACACTTGGTCAGGCCTGAGGCAATACATTGAAAGAGTATCTAAAGAATGTCCTTCTGCACACTGAATGTATCTCCAGGCCTCTGTGATCTCCTGACCTCAGCCTTGCTGCGTCAGTTCTGTCCTGCTATAATTTGTGTCTCCACATGTGGGGTGGAGTTCGCGACTTCACAGAATCCAGGAGGATGGAATTCTTCTCAGGCCTCCTTGTCCCCTTGGTTGACCATAGCCTCAACGTCTTGAAGTAGCAAGTCCCAATTCAAAGCAGAAAGACCTGGGGGAAGCAGTAGTCCTGTGGGGAGTGGAGGTGGGTGAGGGGTGTCATGATGATGTGGGTCCACAGCTCCTTCTTTCTTGTATGTAGTTACTGGGTCCAGCGTTTCAGCATGAATGGATGAAAATCCCAAGGTTTTTTTTCCTTTTCAGTATTAAGGACTAAACCCAGTGTCTTTACACTGAGTTACAGCCCCACCCTCTTCTTTATTTTCTGTTTTGAGACAGGGTCTTGTGAAGTTGCCCAGGCTGGCTCAGATTTGCAACCCTCTTGCCTCAGCCTCCTACAATGCTGGGATTACATGAGAGTGCCACCATGCCTGGCAAAACCCAGCTTTTTAACATTCTGCTCTTTTTTAGTTTTATGTTTTGTCTTATGACATGATGACATTCTACACTTGGAATTTCCCACTCGGTCTGGGTGTTGTTCCAAGTGTTTTGGCAGTATCATGATGTCTTGGCTTTGGGAGTTACACGGTTTCGGTCACAGGGTCTTGCTTCCCTGGGTACATTGAGCAAAGTCACCTGGAACAGCTGCCCTCAGGGCAGCGGATGGGCACAGCCTGTGCTGTAAGGTAGGGACTAGGCACAGGCACTAATGCCCGTCAGTTTCAGGTTCCTGGAGTTAGGGGTCAGCAGTCACAGAGTTACTCCTACTCAGCACCCAGGACCACCTAGCCAGAGTGACACCATGCCACTGACCTAGGTTTCACAGCACAGGACAATGCCATAGGCCTGGACATGAGGGAATATAGGCACCAGCAGAAAGAGGCCAGCCCCACTGACTACAGATGCAAAGTCCAAGCCAGTAGAAAATGCAGCCGCCCGTCTCCCATTACAGAAAGGGCTTCACTAGGGCCTGGTGTGCGACACACACTCCCAGGCCCAGACCACTCCAGGACAAAGGACCCTCAGGATTTAGGCTCCCATTCCCCCAAGATCCCAGAGACCTCTACCCTTATAGCTCCCACCCCTCCCAAGACACTAGTGACCCATGACCCCACCTCATCCCTCAGACTCCTCACCTTTGGCAGCTGGCAGGTGTGATGGGCTTGCCAGGCGGAATGGAGGCAATGCTGAGGGCCCTGCAGTCCCTGGACGTTGTGTGTAGTGGGAGGGGGTAGACCATGTGACACTCTGAGACAAATGAAGTGTCAGTGTCCTTAGCGTTCCAGCCCACTTGTCTCCCACAGTCCTGAGAATAATACAGGCTCTGTCCAGGCCATAGAGCCTCTGACCATGCTGAAAACCTCACCTGGGCTTCCCACCCTTCCCAACCCTGCTCTGCCTCTTCCTGCAAATAGTTCTCTTTGGATATTCACTCCCTCTGCTGAGTGCCAAGTCTCAACTCTCCCAGCTACTCACAGGCAGCCAGCTGGAGGATCCGGTCAAGTTTCGCCTCAGCTGTGCCCTGGTCAAGGGCAGTCCGGAAGTACTCAGACTGGGGCCGGGTGTGATGGTGCACACCTGTAATCCCAGCACTTGGGAGGATGAGGTAGGAGGATTGCCACAAGGCCGGCCTGGGCTACAGAGTGAGTTCAAAGCCAGCCTGAATGACATAACGAGACCTTGTTAAGTATCCAGACTAAAGCCCGCAGCAGTGGTGGCTATGGAGGTGGGACAGGCAGAAACCCTTCCTCACAGAACAGCTGAGGTGGTGGTGGGGGATATAAGGTAAATCTCAAAATGACCCTAAAGCCCAGGTGCTACTCTGTCCTTGTTGTCATAGGCACCAGAAAATCACAATCACACGGCTGGCAGCCCTGGCGGGGGGGTCACTGCTCAGACCCCAGAAAATCATCCATAGGACAGAGCAGTTGGGTAGGGGAAAGGCAGGAATTCTGCAGAGGAGAGGGTCGGGGGCATGGGCAGTCACGCACTGGACTCCTGCTGTGGAACAGGGTAAATTGAATGCCTCCTTGTAGCTGAGCGGGAAAGGAAACTGGTGTGTTCTTCCATTGCCTCACAGTAGATAAGAAGAGCAGGCGTGGTGGGACACGCCTCTAATCCCAACACTTGGGAGAATGAAGCAGCAGAACCGCCAGGAGTTACATATTGAGTTGAAGGCCGGCCTGCAATACATAGCAAAACCCTGCCTCAAAAAACAAAAATGACCATGAAGAAAGGAGAGGCAAAAGGAGGGTACACCGAGGAAGCGGGAGGAGCAGGAGAGGCAGAAAAAAGACAAAAAGGCAAGAAGGATACGAGGACACTGCAGTTTTTAACATTCAAGGCAAGTAAGGGATACAGTTATTCCTTGGACTGAGTCTTCCCCCAAATGGCTTTGAGAAACTCTTTTAAACCTAGTGTGAACTTTTGTAATCTATTTTATCTCTTTCATTCCCAAGCTCCCACCTCAGGGCATATGTTAGTTCAACTAGCTATGGTAGGGCTTGGTGTGTTGTCCAGGTAAGTGAATGGCACCCATTCATGTGCAAGCTGTCTTCTGTCACTATGACTACAGCCTTACACTCTTTTACTTCTTTCTACTTCAGAGCCCAAGGTCAAGGTCAAATCAGAGCACGGGTCAGGGGTCACCAGACGATGGCTACAGTCTGCTCAGAGCAGAGGGACTGGTATTACTAGAGGGGTCACAGGGATGAGTGATCCCCCGCAGGTGCTGGGGGTTGCACCTGCAGGCTAAGGTTTAGGGCACTCAGACTGCTAATGACAGATATAAGTTGAGTGGGACATTGTTATTGGGGCAGTTACTGGGGGCTGACCAAGTGGGATGGGGGGAGCCCATCCTGAGGGTCACACATGCTGATAGAGCTTAGGTTGAGCTGACTCAGGCCATAATGACCAGGCTGGCAGGAGTTGCAGAGCTGGCTCTAGATGTAGACTCTGCAGTAACAATGACCAGAGAGGAGGCCACAGGTCTTGTCCAGATGACCATCGCATAAGCTCCCCTCCACGGCACCCACAGGGTCACAGTCTCAGCCTGGAGCAGTCATCAGAGACTGCGAATGGAATTAGGTCAAATGTCACCATGGAGTCGAAGGATCAGTGTCAGAGCTGGTCTTGGTGTCAGAGGGGTGCAAGGATTCTCCCAGGAACGGCAGTGGAAGGGCAGCACCATTCACAGTACTGCCCAGCTGACAGGTATCACACTCACACACCTGGCCCCTCACACCGCCTGATGAAGACACAGCCACGTCAGAGTGAAGCTGCAAGCACACACACAGGACTCAAAATTCTGCGGCAGAATCCGGAAGACAGCTATGGAGCGAGCTGACCCATGGCAGCTATGGCCAGGCAGAACATGGCACAGCACCTACCCTGGCAGGGTATAGGGATGCCCAGGCTCTGCTGCACACCATGGCCAGTCCTGGAGCAAAGCCTAGCAGCACTCACAGGGAGCACCAGCTGTATGGTGGTGGCAGACACAAAGCCTATGTACCGAGCTGGGAGGAGGAGAAGACAGGTCTACTCTAGACCCCTAGCTTGTCCACCTCACCATCCACAGGATGCCCGTCCCATGGTCCTTACCATGTGTTGCATGTTGGGTGGAGCCCCAGGGGCAGGCCTGCACTCAGGGGCAAAACCATGACATGGGCAACTGCCCCTGAGTTCACAGAGGGCACAGTGGCAGAAGGGGAGACCCTGGAGGCGCCCCAGGGTCTGTCACCCAGTGTATGCTGCTGGAGAAGTTCCCTCACAGGTTAGTCACACATAGGAACTCTAGGGCCACAGGTGGGATCTCAGATAACTGGGCCTTTTCTCTATGGTTGGGGTGGGAGAAGGAATGGCCGGAGTCCCGCCCTCTAAGGCCTTGCAGCCGCCTCCTCCAGCTCCCATGCTATGGCACCTCCCCATGCCTGCTTGGCGAAGTGCACCTCCAGGGATGACCACGACCTCCCTCACGGTGACAGTGCCAGCTCTGTAACGAGTCCCTCTCCAGCCCAATGCTGGCCCTGAGCCCAGACCTGCACATCTCACCACTTCCTGGACACCTCACTCTGGTATCCGTTATCTCCAGGGTTGGGTTTTTTTGTTATTTAACAGGGTGTCACTATGTAGCTCTGGCTGGTTCTGACTCGCAGTGATCCTCCTGCCTCAGCCTCTGAGTGCTGGGATTAAGGCACGTGGCACCACAGCCAGCCATCTCCAGGCAGTGCAGTAAAGCATTCAACTCATCATCCAAACTAGAAATGTACTTAAAATCCAGTAAATCACGTTGTTTAGGTGACTTTCTTGCTTTTGCGTCTGTTCCCTCATCAAACACCGCACAGAGGATACGTGACTGGGTGTGGGGCTCAATGGGTCCTTGGCAAATAGACATATGGAGGAAGGCACGGGCTCGTGTCTCTTCTCCGCCCCACAGCTTACATCAGTTACCAAGCTGAGACTGCCTTCCACAACACTCCTCTTTCCTGATCAGAGCAAAAGCAACAGCAGCTTTCAGACCTAGAGTCAGGGCTAGAGTGAACAGTTAGAGACTGTAGTCACAGCAGGCAGGGAAGGCCCAGTGCACGCTGAAAGCCCAGGTCTGTGTTTGTTTTGTCCTGGTGCCCTCTTGGACTGGCTCTCCTGACTATGGTCTCAGAGCTCTCTAGTCCTCTAACAAGACTTATGTGGGAGGGGTCACATCCCTCCACTTAAGAGATACCTTGGTATCACAGAGAGGTAACTGCAGGGATAAGGGTCACCACCTGACACCTGAGTCATGACTTGAGGGGAAAACAATGACAAGCAGATTACAGAAGCAGTGACAAAGGCAGGTGTGGTGGCTCGTGCCTGTCGTATCAGCACTCGGGAAGCTGAGGCAGGAGGATTGCCATGAGTTTGAGGCCAGCCTGGGGTACACAAGTGAGTTGAAAGCTAAGCTGAACTGCACAGGTACTCTTGTCTCGAAAGGGGAAATTATAAGGGCTAGTGATAGGAGCAGAGATGGGGAGAGCGATGAGGGCCGCAGTGGGAGACCCTCAGATAGGGGTAGGAATGAAAACCTACAGCGGGGGCCCACACAGGGGCTCGGTGATGGGACAGAAGTGGGAGACAGCGCCCCAGGGTACAGGAATGGGGGAGGACAGGACAGGGACGAGGGGTCAGCCCAGGAACTACAATAAAGAACCACAAATGGGGTAGAGGCAGATCACCTGGGAAACCGAGCTGGCAGGACAGCCTACCCTGCCTGCATGCCCACAGGCAGAACCTCACCCGCTCCTCCCGAGGGTGTCTGGCTCCGTTCTGACACTCCGATGGTACTGGACTGTCTGTGGGAGTGGGCACCCTGAATCTAATCGTTACTTGGGTTCTCCACAGGAACAGCTGGGTCCAGAAGTTTGAAAATTATCTGAGAAGCGGGCTTCGGCTTTTGATGTCACCCCAGGGCCTGACTTAACCCTCAGTGGACAGCTTGGCCCGAGTCACAGTGGCCCCAGGAAAGAGGTGTGTGCAGTTGCGGGGCGAGTACTGGTACATGTGTGCGTCAGCAGTGGCCATGGTCCGCTGTGCATTCAGAGCAGAGCTGCTGAGGGAAATGTATGGCGACGAGGGGAGGAAGGGCCTGGGTTACCAGGCGAGGCAAGTATCAGGTGAGACGCGGGATCATTACTGCGGAGCAAGCCTTTAGGCTGGGGCACTGGGGCACCTTGAAAGTCACGAGGGGGCAGGCTGATCTGAAGGTTCCCTGTAGGTGCAGCTGGACAGTAACGTTCTCAAAACCTGCAAGCCAGGTGTGGCGGTGCATGCCTGTAGTCCTACCACTTGGGAGGCTGGAGCAGGAGGAATACCTTGAATTCAAGGCCAGCCTGATCTACCCTGTGACAGCAAGACCCTGTTTCAAAAAAATAAGTACTTAAAACCCCAGCTCTCATACATGGACATGCCAGCACCCTCACCCTTTTCTGCTTGCCCCCCGCTCTTCTTACCCCCACTCTGGGAGATCACATTCTAAATGTCACAGCCTCTTTTGAGTCACGGATCAGACTCCTGCGGAAGGGCCCAAGGAGACTGACTGGGCAGGTGCACTGTCAGTCTCTCCAAAATTTCACAGCACAAGCTAGCAATGCCCCGAACCTCCACAGGATTTCACCTATCCAGGATGTCCCAAAGACAGCAGACCCCAGAGCGCTTACCCTATTCCCCCACCTGCGGGTGAGTGACAGTGTAGTAGGGTTCTGGTTGTGGTGGATAGTTTGAAGGCTCTGGCTGTGGTCACAATCAGGCTGGGCGGAGGGGGTAGCGACTGCCTCTTAAGAAACCAAGAGGGGGATCTGGCACTTCCTGGGTAGCTGTTCTAAAAGCCTGGACTGGAAGGGGACGGGTCTGAGAGATTCTTAGGATACCCCCATCCCACCAGGCCTGACCCACACACACCCTAGCTGGATCTCAGGAAGAGCCAACTCTTCATCCACTGGTTGCAGCACCAGCAGGAAAACTAGGGTACAATCCAAATCTACTAGGAGTCCTGGGCACCAGGCACTAAAATCAGGCCTGAGAGAGGATCCAGAGTGGACTCCAAGCAGGGCTGTCCTTTAGAAGTATGGTCCTTAGGTTATTCCCCATACCTACACTAAGAACTCCCTGAGGAAAGCAGTATCAGAATTGTAGGCTACAGTACACCCAGAAGCATGTGATTGCTTCTCCATAGGTCCACCCTTCTGAGCAGCTGGTAGTACTGGGGCCCAAACACTCAGTAAAGATCTGATTCTCAGTTAAATGAAACTCCTACTCACAGTCCTGAAAAGGTGGTCTCCAGGTGCCTCCAGGAATGTGTCCCCTCTTCCTGGGCCACGGCCACTTCCATTGAGCCCTGGGCAGCCAGCAAAGGACTGCAAATGGCTGGAGTAGCCGGCTCCACTGGGGGACTACTCTCCTCTCCAAGCTGACAGTGTCTGAAACACGCAGGGCGGATGGAAAGTGGTGCCGGAAAACCTCCTTGTTCCACCACCACAGAGACCCCACCCCACAAAAGAACATTCTTCGGTAGTGCAGGCAGCCACTGTGGTCCCGACACCCAATCCCTTGCCATCAACTGGAGCTGAGGACAGTCACTCTCAGCAGAGCACAGGCCCCAACCCAGACAAGCCCAAAGCTCCAAGGTTTTTTTTTTGAGCAGGGTCTCACTGTAGTTCAGGCTGGTCCTGAACTCACTATGTAGCCCAGGCTGGCCTCAAACTCATGGCAATCCTCCTGCCTCAGCCTCCTGAGTGCTGGGATTACAGGTGTGCACTACCACACCTGGCTAAAAGCTCCAAGGTTTTAAAAAGAGCTGGCCTAGAAATAAAGGCTATCTGCTTGGCCTCCAAGGAGCCATACCGACGAGGTTCCCTGACCTGGCCTAGAAACTGCTGGCTGCAAGGTTCCCCACTGTTGCCCAGTCATCCCATCTGGGGCCTGACTGGATAGAAATCATGGCAGCCTGAAGAGAGATCTATCATATGCCAGGAGTGGTGGCGCACGCCTGTAATCCCAGCATTGGGGAGGCTGAGGCAGGAGGATCATGGCAAGTTTGAGACCAGCCTGGGCTACAAAGTGAGCTCAAGGCCAGCCTGAACTGCACAGCAAGACCTTGTCTCCAAAAGACAAAAAAATGCACTCGCGAGGCCGAGGCAGTAGGATCACTGTGAGTTCGAGGCCAGCCTGGGCTACAAAGTGAGTTCAAGGCCAGCCTGAACTGCACAGTGAAACTGTCTCAAAAAGACAAAAAAAAACCCAGCTATGGATTGTATTGGTACTGCCCATGCCCTCAGGGGATGCCTCTTACACCCCTATAGAAGCCAGCATCTGAGTTTCCCCTCACCTTTCCACAGCAGCCTGGGAGCTGACCACACCCACAATCCCACCCCATCACTCAAAATGACGTTCCTGAGCCACTTTCCCTATACGCATACGTACAAAAGACCATGGAGAGTGGGCAGGGAGACTGGAAGGTGGAAAGGTATAAAACGTGATAGATGGAACAGTGAACATACAACTTCAAGAACAAGTCACAGTGCATTGCGCCATGAGAACACCCCTCCCAACACCACCCCACCCCAAATCCTTCAATTTCTGAAAGGCTGGTGCCGCCAGTGCCCTGGAAAGGTACTCGGAGTTGTTCAAGGTTGCAGAGTCCACAGGCATCATGGCACACTGTGCCACTGGCCATGCAAGCAGCTGGGCTATTTTTCCAAACTTTGCTGTATGAAGGAATCAGGATGTCGAATATGGCATCAATGGCTGGAGCCGTATTACAGGAGACAGGTTCACACGGAGGATCCGCTGGGCTTGCTGCCGGACCTCGTCATCTGAGGCCTGCCTGTTCACCTTTATGGCACGGAACTTTAACAGCTTCGCTGTTCCCGAGCCCAGGCAGGACTTAGGAGACTGGGACCCCAGCCGTTTTTTCTTCTTTGGAGGGAGGTCCTTTGCCTCTTCAGCCCTTTTCCTCTTCTGCCCCAGAGTTACAGAATGACTTTTCTGAACCTTTCTCGAAATCCTAGGCTGAACAGATCCCTTTGGTCTGCCCCTGCCCCGGGTCTGAGCCACCTTGTCTCGTGCGGCTTTGGCCTTAGCCTTGGCCCGTGCTGCCTTGGCCTTAGCCTTGGCCCGTACTGCCTTAGCCTTGGCCTTGGTCTTGGCCTTAGCCTTGGCCTTAGCCTGTATCCGAGCCACAATGCCATGGGCACGGGCAGCTTTGGCCAGTGTTCGAGCTGCCTTGACCTGGGTTGTTTTGGTGGCCATGGTGGAGCCCTCTTTCATCTGCAGACCACGGAAGGAGCCAGTACCTTTATAGGTCTTTCTCTGGGGTCCAGTGCCTTGCTGGGCTCCAGCCTTAGAACCTTTGTGAGTCAGACACATAGGGTTCTTGCTTGTGGTTTTTCTAGGAGCTTTGGACCAGAGGTTCCCTGGACTCTTTGCAGAACCTTTCCGCACTTTCAAAGGAGAGTCTGCAAGTGAGAGCGGCAGTGACTGTGGCTTGTGCTTAGCATTCAAGCAGGGCATGGTATTCTTGAGTGGAACCAGGGCCTCAAGGACAACAGAAAGTCGCATGGCAGGATAGACACCTGGATATAGGTGGGTGGGAAAGCCCATTGTTGCACCCCTGGTTCGGCTGGCACTTGACTGCTTCAGGGAGCTCAGCAGCAGGTTGGTAGTCGTATGCTTGGTGAGGGCTGGTGTAGATCCTTTGGCCAGCCTGCCCGACAATGACATGGGCAGCAGGGTAGCACGGCCCGGGGGCAGGTGCACAGCAGTTCGGGGACCACTGGCTGGAGGTGATGTGGCAGTTCGGTTGGGGGCACGGGCCTGCAGCTTCGTCTGACTTGGGGGTTTGGCCGTGCATGAACTATAGCCATAGACATCACCGCTCCGTAGAATGGTAGGTTGGAAACCATCATCTCGCAGGCCCTGCAGGAAGGCCACAAGCTGGGCCTCCGTGGCACTGAGATCCTGGCTCATGGGGTTAAAGACAAGCAGCGCCTCCTCCAAGGCCTTCTTCCCTGCTGTGGAGATGCGCGACCAGGAGTGCACAGCTTTCTCCTCCACATGCTGCACCACCACGCTCATGGCATTAGGCACTGCAGTTCTGCCCAGGTATCCACAAACCACTGCTTGGCACCTCCAAGGTAAGAAGAAAATCAGTAAGAATGGCACCAACATACGGAGGCAGAGCAAGTAGACAAGTCTAGCAGGGTCCCTACTCCCCATGACACTGAGGGCCTGGTCAAAGCGAGCCTCTCCCTGGAGTGAAACCTGGTCTCCTAACCCTCTACTACACTGGGGTGGGTGTGGGTCAGGTACTTTGGTACAGTCTCAAAGCACCTCAGAACCATCTAACCTGCTAGGCCCTGGGAAAAATTTAAACCTGATTCATCTAAATTCACTCTTTGCTGGGCATGGTAGCACACACCTGTAATCACAGCACTCGAGATCCCTGTGAGTTCGAGACTGGCTACAAAGTGAGTCCAAGGCCAGCCTGAACTGCACAGTGAGACCTTGTCTCCAAAAGGCTAAATAAATAAAATAAATTAATTAATTCACTGTTTTCAGATAGATAGGCTCTCACTAGTTGTGTAGGCTGATCTTTAACTTGTGGATTCAAGTGATCCTCCCATCCTCCCTAGCAGTCCTCAAAAAGCTCAGTCCAGAAGGCAAGACAGAGCCACCATTAAGATTCTTGGGGCCAGGCATGGTGGTGCACACCTGTAATCCCAGCACTCGGGAGGCCACAAAGAGAGCTCAAGGCCAACTGGAACTGCACAGCAAGACCCTGTCTCAAAAAGACAAAGAAAAAAAAAAAAAGATTCTTGGAAGTGTATGGTTCAGCTTGCCAACAGGTCAGGAAGGATTCCTACCTAGGACGAATGATAAATAGATGGAAGAAAGAGCAAAAAGGGGAGTGGTCTATATAGTGGCTGTGAAGTGAGGAAGAATAAGGCACAACTGGTATAGAGTTTGGTGTCTAGTTAGAAAAACAAGTTACGGACAGAGCAACAAAGAATGTTGGATATTGGCCAAAGGGCACATATTTATACCTAATGTCCATGTCCCTATTTGTTCCACTAGCTGCTGGGGGGTGGCTCTGCTTGCAGGGCACAGACAATCTCTGGCTCTGTTCATGAAGACAAACCTCGGGGAAAGAGCCAATCTTCCGCAGAAACTAATAAGCTAATGAGCAGCAGTTGTGAATGACACCTAAGCAACTAGGCATCCTGGGGGCCAGGCAGAGAAATCAAGAGCTCAAGGTCTGAAGACAGGAGAGCTAAATGCTTGAAGTGGGATGTAGAGTAAAAAGGACATCTGAGGTCTGCGCTGTCCTAACTAGAGCTCAGAAGACAGCAGGACTCAGCACAGCACAGAGACTTGTCTTGGAACACCTAAATCGTCCCAGACTTCTTTGAAGAAGCTGTGGCTGTCAGTCATGACTAGTATCTAACACCCAACCCAGCATTTGAGGATCCCACAGGCAAGCGGCAGTTCCCCAGCTGCACTGGAACATTAAAAGATCAGCCTGGATCAGCGAGGTCCCTGGGGCCTCGAGGCCCATCTGTGCAGCTTCTCCCCACCACACTAATGGAGCAAGATGAAGTCTTCAGAATCCCCTGGAGGAAGTGCCCTGGGGCTCTCTGTTTGGAAACATTCCTGGATCCTCAGGTGTCTGAGGCACTTCCCCTCCCCAGAGGCCACTTTCCAAGCACAATCCTTGTACATGACTTTAGTTCTTTTATTTGCTTAGCACTTGAGGGGTGCAGTTCCCGGGGCTGTGAAGTGTACGGGCGGGGGCCTATTTCCCACCCACGACCCCCGACACACATACTGGAGTTGACCGCGGGCTCCTCGCCCAGGCCCCTTGGGAGGGGGCGGTCTTCTTGGCTTTTAAGAAGCTTCGAAAACAGAGGCTGAAGCCGGGCCCGCGACTTGCCTTCACACGTGCCTCCGGGGCTAGCAAGGGACGTTGACCGAAACGGGGCGAGAGGCAGCATCCAGGAAAACTGGGGTCTGGGGCAGACTGGGGCCCTCGGGCTGGGAGACCGCGTCCCTGAGGCCCGAACGGCGTAAGGGAGGCGGGAGTCAGAGGCACCAATTATGTGTAGGGCGCTCGTGCCAGCCCGACCGAGACCGCGAAGCCCCAGGGTGGGGTCGCTGGTGGGGGGCGGGGGGGATCTCAGCCAAGCCAAAGGACAACGCGGGTTTGGGAAGAGCGGCCCGTCCCCTCCGCCCTGCAACCTTGCCAGCCGCCACTCCGGAGCGCGGTTAGGCCCGCGGCTCTAACCTACCGGCGCCGCCGCGGGGACCCAGGACGCACCTCTGCGCCGCCTCCGCTGCTCCAACATGGCCGCCTGCTGCGCGCCGGAAGTGTGCCATACTTCCGCTTCCGGGACCCGGCCCGCCCTAGTGACCCTTGACCCTGAGACCCCATTCCCGCCCCCAAAGCCTTGGGGCGAGGCGTGTTGGGTACCAGGGAGGGCTGCCTGGAGGTGGTGGCTGCGAAGACTACTCTAGATCAATCTGGTCTAGCACGGGAGACCGAGAAGCAGAAGCAGGGGTGCCCTTGTACATAGCCTCCGGGAAGTTCAAAGACTGAAACCCAGCTAGGATGCAGTGAGGGGCCAGCACTGTCTCTAAGAGGCGCTGGCAGTGCATGATATCGGAGAATGGCTCCTGGCAAGATCCAGGCCATTTTCCACTCCGGCCTTCCTGTAGCTATTGACAAAGCCCACTTCTGTCAGAGGCACCTGACCAGAGGATGAAAGAGGATTGTGCCTTCTGACAGGCGGTGTCTCAGGGTAGTGCCATTGTTTTGCAGTAAAGATATCTCCTTCAAGGACAGAGGCTTCTCTTTGTGAGAATGAAACCTACTTCACCTTCCATGAAAGGCTAGTGTGCACGCAGCAACCCAAAGCCGTCCCTGGTCAGTCTGTAGGCCACAGCATACTAGTGTGGACCTCAGTATACTCGCCCAGGTGTGTGTGCACAGATATAGTGGGAAAACCCTGGCCCAGCTTCAGCCCATCAATGCCACAAAGTCCCATCTTCAGTATTAACATTGCCAAGAATCCCTGCCATTTTGCAACCCTGGAATCTCAGTCTTTCCATCTCTCTCCTACTGCCAGCATAGGGATGGTGGTTATAGGGGCCACTGCTCTAGCAGCACCAAATAAGAGGGTATAGGTCAAAGTTATCCCTAGGGGGCCTGTAACTTCAGATGAAGGGGGTCAGAATGGTCTTTGCAGCTCTGACCAAAGGCCCTACTTGTCAGGGACCCCAAGTCCCAGTTGGGAGCATTCGTGGGACCCATGGTCTCATGGATGAAGTAGTGGGTCTGAGCCTGTGAGAGGAGCCCAGACATCTGTAAAGTCAAGTGCTCACTCCACTCAGAAGTTCTCCAGGCCTCACCTGGTGCCCCTCAGTTTCTCAGGGCCTCAGCTCTGATGATAGGATTCTCAGTGCCTTCCTCAAGCCCAGCTGGAGTATATCTAGCAGGAACAGCCAAATTTCTTGCTCCTGTAGGTTCGGGACATCTAACTCCTTATCCTGGTAGAGAGAAAGGGTGACGTCCCACAGGCCAAGATGTAATCAGCATTTTTTTTTTTTCTTGTGAGACAGGGTCTCACTATATAGTTCAGGCTGGCCCTGAACTATTTTCTTTGTTTTTTGCGACAGTATCTTGCTTATTCAGTAGCCTAGGCTGGCCTTAAACTCACTGTATAGCCCAGGCTCACCTTGAACTCTTTTGTTTTTTGAAGTAGGGTCTTGCTTGTTATGTAGCCCAGGCTGGCCTTGAACTTGCAGCAATCCTCCTGCCTCAGTCTCCTGAGTGCTGGGATTACAGGGGTGTGGTGTACCACCACACCCACCTCAGGGTATAATCAGGAAGTGCTTATTTGACACTTCCAGTTGTGAGTGAGCCCTGTCTCTGGCCCTCTGCATGGTTCAGGGCCAGGGTTGGTTGTTCACTCACAGGTCCCACCCAATTTCAGCTTTTATCCCAGTGGTTTCCAAAGCCAGCAGTGTCAAACTCTTGTGTGCAGATGAGGTAGAACTATGCAAAGAGAAGCCACTTCCACAAAGAGGTAAAGTTTGGCCTCCTGAGATGGCACCAGTCCAAGTGTGCTGTGGAAAGAAGATCCCTCTCTGGCAATGTTCAGCCTAGAGGTCAGGGCAAAATGGAGGGACAAGAATGGTAGCTCTATCTCTTGTTTTCATCCCTTCTAGAAATAGGAGCTGGAGGGATAGGGTAAGAGTAAGTTAGGGGTAAAGGTCATGGGATCCTGAGCTCTCTAAGTGGATGCTGAAACAGTGTGCTGGTCCCCAGTAATCCCCAGATGGAACTCTCTGGGAACACTCATCAGAACACAATAGGACTGGCCCTAGACTTTGGTGGACATTACGAGCATAACTCAAATCAGAAAGGATGAGGTAGGAGAGACAGCAAGGTGATCCCAGAATCCATCCCTTATTCTCTATTTGGCATCTTCTACAGAACTTGGTGGACTCTGGGCCCCCATCTGGCTGAGCAGAGAGAGCTGGTGGAAATCTAGGTGCCTAGAGAGGTTGCAGAGAGGGTATGGGTGCTGGTGCAGAAATCCAGGGCTAAATCTTGGGGCACTGCCTGGGGAGAGGAAGGAGGGCTTACAAAGGATTCCTAGAGGCCAGACAAGAAGCAGGAGGAATCTGAGGTCACAAGGGGGTGAAACTTTGAAGATGCTGACGAGATTGCAGCTGAGGCAAGGATCACGGGAGCACACTCACTCCACCCCCAGTTCTGGTTTTATAGTAACTTTTCAAGAGCAATTTTGGGAAAGTGGCAATAGACACTGGCAGATAATTAGGCAGTGGAGCCTGTGAGGGCGGATTCCTTCAAGAATTTGCAAGGGAGGAAGGGGAGGCTAGAGGCTCTCGGGGAGCTGAAATGTATGGAAAAGTAGACAGTTTCTAAGCGCTTACCTACTGGAAAGGGAACAGTGGTAAACCTGAGGGCTCTGCAGGGCAATGTGAGCATCCTGTTGGAGGAATCGCCAGTGCCCCAGGTGAGGAGCAAGTTGGGGAGGGATATGGGGTGGGAGGATAGAGGCCTTCTTAGTCAGGATCTATGGAGTCTGTAACCAGTCTTAGCACCACCATTTCTCTGCAGGCCTGCTGATTCCACTGCCAGCCCCAAAGGGCTGCAGCCTTTCTCTCTCTGGTCCCCTGTGGGGAAGGGTTCACACACACTCCAAGCAGGGCGCAAGTCAGGCAAGCCAGGCCACTAATGGTCCCACACAGATCTCAGGCCACTTGATGGGGACTCCCTTGGTGGGGATTTAGAATGAGTACCTCTGCCCCCCTTGCTCTTAGGGCACAGCAGCAATGTGAGGCCCATATTCTAACTGGCTCCCAGAGTCCCCGGCAGGATCTGGTCCCAGTTGCCCACAGTGGTAACTTGCCTGACGACACCTCCTTTATTGACCACTTTCCCTGTATCCCTGCCACTCTTCTGCGGGTGCTTCCTGGGTTCCCCTCTCACACTAACTGTATGGACTTGTATCTTTGTCTCCAAAACAGGTCTGCTTTGGGTAACTAAGCCAGACTCTGCCCATGTAAGTGGGAGAAGGCAGTGAGCAAAGACAACCGCTAGGCGGAACTTCCCACAGGCGACCGCTTACCCGTATAGTGGGTCCCCGGTTTAAAGACTCAACTAACACTTTGCGCAGAAGACAGGCTGGGCCAGGGTCTGAATCTGAGCTAGGTGGGCCCTTGTCAGCCCCACGTGCTCTCATCTTAACCCGGGGTTAGCTGGAGGCAGGCCCTGGACGCTGCATATGGAGTCACAAAGCACCTTGGGCCCGAGAAGCCCGGGACTCGGGAGGATTCCTGGCCTCTGACGCCCCCGCTCACAGCTACTCTGGATGCCCTCCCCGTTCGGGCCAGCGCTGGGGCCCAAGGGCTGCCCCCGCGCCGTGGTCTTCCTGTGCTCTGCAGAACCTATTATGCGTCCTCCCCTGCAATCTGGCCCGCCCTCCTCGACCAGGCTCAGGCCACGCCCCGAGTGGCCTCCAGGGGGCGCCTCCGCGGGGCTCGGCCCGGCTCCCGAGCTCGGCCACGATGGGCGGGCGGTCGGACCCGCAGCCGCCAGGCGCGG